GGTGGGTGACTGGGGAGGATCCAGTGGGGGAAGGCAGCATGGGATTGTCACCATCATCATAGTCCTTCGTTGTTGCTTGTAACACAACTCTCCCCTCGCCAGAAACTGACACCACCAATCCCTTTGAAGGGCTTCAGTTGCTAAATCTCACCAGCAAGCTTAGGGTGCTAGTGCACCCCTCCTCCCAGGCCCTGCTGTTCTGGGTCATTTACCCCTGATTCCATTAAACTGGTATCCAAACCCAAGAATCTCATTGAAGGGGACAAGCATGGGACACAAATTAAACTTAAGACTTCATCAGGGTCCTTTTGGGGATAATCTCTCCCCCATCCCCAGCAGTGTGAGAATAACCACACAATTGATACTTTTACGATAGGAAGTGCGGGCAGCAGAGGGAAGGGCTTGGATGTTAGGAATCATCTGACTTGCCGGCTTCCGTAGGTCTTCCGTGGCACATCAGAGAAGATGGGTTTTCCTTATGTAGAAGGGGGCATGGCGGGGATGGATTCCTAGCCGAATCCTCAAAACTAAAGGCAAGTTGCAACACCAGCCCAACCTCACCATGAGAAGGGACCTCTACTGACTCCGGAGCACACTCCTCCCCCTTGGGCTGGCTCATCTCTGGGTGCCATAACAAACAAATGTGACAGAATGGAGACTCGATGCAGGGCACAGCTCTGAGGGGACTAAGATGATGGGGAAAACCCACCCTCGGGGGCTTGCTCCCCTCGCAGCTCTGCTGGAGAAAGGGCTGCCCCCAGAACTCTAGTTTCCACTCTGGTTGCAGAGAAGACTAAACTGGAAGAGGAAAGCAGACCATACCCACCAGCTTCTTGGCACTTCCAAGGGTAGCATGTTAGACGGGAAGCAAAGGAGCTTTCCTTTCTGGCTTTTACTCACTTGGGTGCTAACCCAGACTGGACTTGTCCCACTCTCGCTCACAGAAACAGAGTCGAGCCAGGTATGAGGCAGTAACAAGCCAGTGAGAGGTTTTTGACGTGACTGGTTCTGTGTTCCCTGGAGAGACTCCAAGGTTCTCCAAAAACAATGAGGGTGCTGTATTTCCTAACCAAAGAGGCAGTTTCCTGGAACTGATAAGATCAAATGAGCCTACAAATGTCAATGTAGTAATAGCATGCCCACCCCACCCCACCCCCCGCCAAGCACCATTTCATAGGAGCCGGACACCTGCCACTGGCCCCCAAGCCCCGGCCTCCTCCACAGCCCTGTGCCCACATTCCTAAGCACGAGAAGGCACCTCACCAGCCTCCCTCAGCAAACATCCAAACCAAATGCACACGTGGTTCACGTCTAAACGGTTTTTATTCAAGCGCCTGTAGTGCTGAAGTTCCACCAAGGTCATTCTCCTGGCTGCCTCTGCCAGGACCAGAGGGGAGCACCTGGCGGATAGGAGAATAAAGTGGGAGAATCCAGCTTCCGATCGATGACTCAGCGGCAGTGTTGAAACGCGAGCATGAGCCAGCAGTTCCAGTTGGAAGGCTGAGAGGGCGCCCAGCTGCTCAGTGGCCCGGCTTCCTGGAGTCACCACTCTGGCCATTAGCGCAGCGAGGAGGAGAGAGATAAAGCAGCCGTGGCCCTCTGTTTCCAGGCCCACCCCTCTGGCAAACAGGGGGGGCAGGTAGGGAGGAAGAAAAGTCAACAAAGGAGGTAAAAGGGAGAGGCACAGCAGGCAGGACACGGGGGCTCCACACAGCAGACAGGGCAGCTGGCCATGCTGCTTGTACACTGGCTTCTAGAGGATTCTCCTGCCTGCAGAGGCCAACGCGCCTTCCTAACACGCTAGGGCTGTGGGGGGAACCTACGCCCAGCTGGACCTCACTGACCCCTTCCCACACACCCCCAGCACAACAGCCCTTCTCAGGAAACTGAAGAACCTGGAAATGGGGGTGAGTTGGGAAAGGCTGGAGTTTTCATCCAAAACCACGAAGCAGGACTATAAACAGGCAAATATACAGACCCTGAAGCAATGCCAGAAAGGAAAAGAGGGGATTAAAAAAAATAAAAGATAAAAAATAAAAAAACCTCCTCCACAGCCCTGTGCCCACATTCCTAAGCACGAGAAGGCACCTCACCAGCCTCCCTCAGCAAACATCCAAACCAAATGCACACGTGGTTCACGTCTAAACGGTTTTTATTCAAGCGCCTGTAGTGCTGAAGTTCCACCAAGGTCATTCTCCTGGCTGCCTCTGCCAGGACCAGAGGGGAGCACCTGGCGGATAGGAGAATAAAGTGGGAGAATCCAGCTTCCGATCGATGACTCAGCGGCAGTGTTGAAACGCGAGCGTGAGCCAGCAGTTCCAGTTGGAAGGCTGAGAGGGCGCCCAGCTGCTCAGTGGCCCGGCTTCCTGGAGTCACCACTCTGGCCATTAGCGCAGCGAGGAGGAGAGAGATAAAGCAGCCGTGGCCCTCTGTTTCCAGGCCCACCCCTCTGGCAAACAGGGGGGGCAGGTAGGGAGGAAGAAAAGTCAACAAAGGAGGTAAAAGGGAGAGGCACAGCAGGCAGGACACGGGGGCTCCACACAGCAGACAGGGCAGCTGGCCATGCTGCTTGTACACTGGCTTCTAGAGGATTCTCCTGCCTGCAGAGGCCAACGCGCCTTCCTAACACGCTAGGGCTGTGGGGGGAACCTACGCCCAGCTGGACCTCACTGACCCCTTCCCACACACCCCCAGCACAACAGCCCTTCTCAGGAAACTGAAGAACCTGGAAATGGGGGTGAGTTGGGAAAGGCTGGAGTTTTCATCCAAAACCACGAAGCAGGACTATAAACAGGCAAATATACAGACCCTGAAGCAATGCCAGAAAGGAAAAGAGGGGATTAAAAAAAATAAAAGATAAAAAATAAAAAAACACCTCTCTAGAGAGAACAGAATCCCAGGGTCCCAGAGGCACTGCTCATAGACTTTAGCAGAAGCATATTAAGTGGCAGCAAATAACCTCAACACTGGGAAAACAGTTAAATGGGAGGCCTCTATCCACCTGAGAAGTCAGCCCAAGGCCAGGTTTCCGGAAGGGTATCTCCAGATAATGTCACCTAGCAAGCCCAGGTAAGCCGCCCACACCTGTGGGAGGGGCCTTTCCACAGTAACCTCCTGGGTCTGGTGGGTTTCTAGTCCAGCCTGGCCTGGGCTGATTTCCAACATAGTCCCTGACAGTGTGCTTTTACCAGCCAATCTAATCACCATTCACTTAAATTACCACAGTGATTTTTTTTTCATTACCCTTCTAAAACAACCAATGTAGAACTCTGAAAGGGCAGAGAAACATACACACACACAAAACACACACCAAAAGCTGCCTGGCGCTTTCCTTTCCCTTCAGAGAAGGAGAAATGATTTCATATGTATACATGCACAGGCGCACACACACATATGCGTTCTTCCCTGATATTTGAAATTCTTTGTGAATTAGCCATGCCTATTTCTGTTGAGCCCTTTGGAAAAAAGAAAGAAAAGGAGCCATAAACATGTACTCTTCTGCTTCTGGTAAGAGCTGACCAGCTCTAAGCACTTCCACTTTGAAATTTCACATAGCCATCACCAAAATAAGACCAGAACTGACCAAGCAAGAAAGACCACCAAAGGGTCAGACGTCTCTTGCACGTAGATCCCGGAGAGCAGAATGTTAGAAATTCTAAATACACAGCTGAGTTATCCTTCAGGCTTCTTTTAGATTCTTCATCCTCTAGATCTCTTTTACTATTGTCAATAGTTGCTTTAAAAAAATTTTTTTTTTAATTCAACAGGTTTCTCTTTTCTCCTCTTAGGAAAAAAAAAAAAATCTCTTAAAGAAGAGAGAAGAAGGGGTAACATTTTAAAGGGGCGTCTAAATTTTTTTTTTTAATTCAACAGGTTTCTCTTTTCTCCTCTTAGGAAAAAAAAAAAAAATCTCTTAAAGAAGAGAGAAGAAGGGGTAACATTTTAAAGGGGCGTCTAAAGGGTGGCAGAGGTGACTCTGGAGTGGTGCCCGGCAAACAAGTCTGACGGTGACATCTGAGCAGACGTCCCACACATACAACGGAGCCAGAGCCTCATAAACCATGTTTGTTTTGGTTTCGATGCCTCTGACAAGAGAGATGGCTCCCAGGTCCTTCACAGCCCAGGCTGCAGCTGACCAACTTTCCACAGGATGCCCACACGCTGGAAAATGGGTTTTACCTAAAACAAGAGGAAGGACAAGAGTCAGCGCCTTCTGGGAGAGCCCCGCACCTGTCCTGACCCCTCCCTAACAGTCTCCATCCGTGCGACCTGCTGTCACTCTCTCCTCCCCCATCTCTAGTCCTGCCACACAAGCTCTTGAAAACTCCACACTCCCCAGCCACAGGAGCTCTGAGCATGCGTCTGCAAAGCACACTNCCTTCTTCCTAGCCCTTCAAAGGGTGTTCATGTCAGGGATCAGCAAACTTTTTTTCCTATACCAGCCCAGAGTAAATATTTGAGATGTGGCAGGTCCTGCAGTCTCTGTGGTGACTATTCAACCCTGCCGTCATGGTGGAAAAGCAGCCACAGACAGGACAGAAATGCTTGGGCATGGCTGTATTCCAATAAAACTTTATTTACAGACACTGAAATATGAATTGCATATAACTTTTACATGTCATAAAATATCATTCTTTTGATGCTTTTTCAACCATTAAAATGTAAAAACCATTCCTGGTATGAGCCGTACAAAAATAGGCAGTGGGCTAGATTTGGCCCACGGGCTATAGTTCACTGACCTCTGGTTTATGTAATTATCTGTTTAGCGTATGTCTTTTGCTTAGACTGGGAGCTCATGCAGGCAAGACC